AGAAAAACCCATATGCATATAAACGTTGGCATAGATTCTAGGTTAGGAACCTCTGGACCATGAGATACAGTCTGAACTCTATTACTAAGATGGTGCCTCCTGCCTACATTGCAACTTTCACCCATTACTGCTATGATTTCACCTTGCTTAGCAATCACACTGAATTACACAACATTTGACCGTGATGTCTGGCCTCGGATTCTGGCTCTATCACTGACAGGTGACAACAGGTGTGTTATCTAACCTGTGTTTCAGATTGCTCATCTCCAAAATGGGAATGATAGTAGGATCCCCTTCATAAGGGGGTTTTGAAGATTAAATGAATGAATACATAAAAAAGCACTTATGGTCATACCTGGCACATAATACACATGGAATAAGGATTAGCTACTTTTTTAAGGATTAGCTATTTTTATTAGCTGTACGGTTTCACGCATTTGCACATATTATTCCCTCTATCTAGGATGCCTGTCCACTTGCCAATGCCAGCTTCCTTTCACCGATTCTACTTGAGTTTTCAGGATGTATTCAAGCTCACCACCCTCGTGAGAACTTCCATGGTTTTCTGATAATGCGCTCTTGCACGTCACTCTGTTACTCGGTGTTGCTGTGTACTGAGTTTGTAATTTCCACTTATACGCCCATTTGCACATATGCTCCGTAAGGTTAGCAGCTATGTCCCTCTTGTTTACTAGGCCCTGGCTTTCACAACTGTACCTGGCATATGGTAGGCTCCCACTAAGCACTTGTGGAATGAATGGATGAATGAATGAATGAATGAATGAATGGATGAATACTTTCTCTTTCAGGGAGAGAAAGGCTCATGTGTCTTGAACACAGGTTTATGAATCTTCAAAGACCTATTGCCAGCGCGGGGCTTGGCACGTGCACAAAACCACTTTCTGAGTTGATCTGAGATCCAATCAACTTAGATTCAATGAAATATGTTTAGCGTTGATTGCATGATCATTACCTTTTGAGGATTTTTTCGACTTAAGAACAATGATCAAATATAAAATAAATAAATATAAAAAAAGAGATGAGCTTTATTTATTAAAAAGTCTTAAGTTAAAGCTTTCCTCAAAATACGCTCAGATGTTTGGGGACCAAACAAGACGAAAATCTCCAAAGCCAGAGAACTTGCTAAGACCTGTCCTCCCACGACCCTTCCAGCAACAACCCCCGCTCAGCCACCCTCTGCACGCATCCTGTCTCACCACACGATACATACAAGAACAACACGGACACAACTCCTCTCCGTCTTGGCTGATAAACATTCATCAAAGAACACAAACTTCTCAATAGGGAAGGGAACAGAAAAAAGAAATGAAAAACAAAGAGGAAGAGTAGTTTGGTTCAGTAACGTATTGTTTTAAGCACGTGAGGCCAAATCACTGAAATCCTGAAACCGAAGATGAAATGGAGCTCCGCAGCTAACCAGAGTTCTGTTCCTTCAAAGCTTACGCCTTTACGGAAACTCTGCTCTACAGAGGTCAACATCTAATGTGCAAGAGATATAGTTAGACAGCACAAATTAACTCCTTAAGTATCATCGCAACTCCACATCGGTCTTTGGGAGTTCATACGTTAAGGAGCTCTTAAAAAACAAAAACAAAAACAAAAACTCAATTATAACTCCACAGTCCTGACAGTTTATAATGCATATACAGTTGGTTCACCTGCATCCTTTTGATTCTCTATTTGAAAGAGAGAGCACAACAAGGAGAGAAGAGAGAGAGAAACAAGAACACATATGCAGGATTAATGAGCAAATGGACCAAAATGCCCCCCACTTGTGTGTGATACATGATATTGGAAGGAAAAGGTTGCCCTTGGGTTCCCACCGCCCCGAAGTGTGGGGGCCAGCAAAAAAAGGCTCCTTCACAGAGGTGGAAAATGCTGCACAAATAGAAAATTAGTAAAATTAAGTTTAATGTGAAATCAAGCTATGAAACATACACGAACTCTCCAAGTGACAATTAAGTCAAATGTTCTAGCCAGAGCTTAGAGGACAGGGACAAGTCAAAATCTCCCGAGAGAATAAGGAAAAGCTTCCCAGCTTGAGAGAGAACAGACAGGAGGCATACAAGATCTAATTTTTACACAGGATGGACCACCTTGTGTGATCTTATACCCGTAATAGTTTCACATCTTCAACATGGAAAGGAAGGCATGATTTTGCCTCAGCTATCCCTTTTCTGACACCTAACGCATTGTTCCCGGCCTAGCGGCTACCTTTTGATTGTGTACCAGTGACAAGCACTTTACAAATTGGGGTTACACACAAGCAAAGTAAAAATGCATTCAGGTCACAGACAGAGAATAACTGAAAAACTTACGGACAAATCTGAGTTTATCACAAACAAATGGCTTAATTGTCTAACCTGTTTGAGGCTGATAAAAAGTGACTGAACTTCTCACACTGGGTTTCACAGACAGAATCAACAGACAAGCCAATGCTAAAAAACTTGAAGCAAGGAGAGTGAGTTGGTTTGGATCTGGATTTTCTTGAAATAATGAAAACGGAAAGAGTGAAGACAGCATGGCGAGGAGGCGGTAGGTACTCACGAATGGTTAAATCCATCACTTGGGAGGCCAAGCAGAAGACAGGATGCTCATACATTTCTCTCTTTTTCCCTATAAAAGAGGATTTGGGCATGCAAGAGGCTTAGGTCAGAGGTAAAGAGGTTAAAGGTCATAGGTTAGAGGAATACGTTACATTAGCTCAAAGGAAAATAGCCACAGAGTATTTTGGGATAAACACGGGATAAAAGAAAAAAGGAGTTTCAAAATTGGAGATCTACTGGATTAACCATTCAGCATGCCGTGAGTCACGAGAGAGATTGTGACCATGATTTTACACGTCTCTTTAGAATTGTTGGCAAGAGTACAATGACCAAAAACATCATGAGTAAAGGGAAACAGAATTTCATTGATTTAAGGCTCCAAGATACTAAGGATTTCAGACTTTAGTATCTAAGGCTCTTGAGGTATTTCTTCATAAACATAGTCTCCAGCGATATCACTATAACTTCATTCCCAAATTCTCAGGGGACTAAGCTGTGGCTCAAATGTAAAAACGTAAGATTTCTTTTCTGAGCATAGGATCAGAACCTCGTAAAAGAAAGTTGTTTGGTAGTAGCATCTCCAAAGCTGCAATGTCTCAACCTACGGTGGACTATGTTCATGAAAGAAAACCTGATACATGCAGCCAGAGGATGTTGGGTTGTCTGAATTAACAATCCCAGCATGCTTTGAAATTGGTGTCACAGCCACTTTTGCAGAGGTAATGTCAAAAAGTGGCTGAGCCAATCACGGACAAGGAAGGAGAGAAGCGGAAGAGAGCAGGTAGTGTGGAATGAGGTACTTCTCTGAAAAGAGAGTTGGAAAAAAAAGATTGGTTTCTTCAAAGAATCCCCAGACCTAAAAGTCACAGTGCAAAAGATAATTAACACAACCAAGAAGAATTGAGGCACAAAAGGAAATTACAGATCAGCTGATCTACTTTGGAAATGAATGCATTTTTACTTACAGATCTTAAAGTTTGTTTTTGGATATATTTATCTGAAAGAAGAGAGCAGATCTTACCGAAAGACTAGTAATAACTAGACCAAGGCCTACGAGGCAGCAGCCATGGCGACCGGACGTTTCTTGATCCCATCCCATCTCTGGCCTTGCCTAGAATTATTAGGTACCTGGTTGACTTTACCAAATACAACCAATCATTATGTCCTGGGAAGGTAAATGCTAGAACAATTATTTGCTAATATAGCCCTTTAATGATCTTCTTGTTCCTCTATTTTTGTCACTCATTACCAAGTCAAGAGTTGATAAACATCCTTTTAGTGCCCAATTCTTAAGTGTTTCTCCCTGGGTGCATAGCAATGAATTCATTACCACTGGTACACAATTTGCATTGTCAGACAGACAAAATTGAGAGAGGGAGGACATGTAATGTACAGAACACTGCGATTTGACATGACCTTAACCTAATTCTCTAAGGAAACAAGGACTTCGGCAGGGTAAGTGATAGGGTTTTGGTGGTTGATTAGGTCTTTTTTTTTCCCCCCCAGTCAAGTCCTGAAGGCAGACAATGGGCATTTGCTGGTTTTAGTCAGGTGTTTCACATGTGAGAGAACATCAGATTCCAGAATGCGGACACACTGAGTTTTGCACACAGAACTTCCACATTTATACACTTACACCACTGGTCAAGTTGGGTGTGGTTTTCAAATCACCCTATAGCAGCCAACAGGGTAACAATGAAAAGTGATTAATACCTTTGCAAATGAATAGGTCCCAAAGAACCATATCTTCTCAAGTAGAGTTTACTCAAAGTGCCTTTTGGGTGATTACTTGGTCATCAGTGCCTGCTTCCCTAAAACTTGAGAGGGCAGTGGTAACAACCATCCTAGGTCTGGAGCAACAAGAAGGAATGAGATCTAAAGCAAACCAGGAGCCATCAGAGACAGCTGGACACCAACCTGCCATCAGGTTTGAAAATGTTACCCAAAGACAAGATATTCTCAAGGGGCAAGAAAGAGTAAGCAAAAATCTTGATGTTGTTTTGTTCAATGCTAGTTTTACCTCCAAGGCTGTCAACAATGGACAACAAAGTGCTTTGTTTTCCTCTATTTAAAGAAGGTAGCAGTCCCACAGAACCTCTTCTTAGGAAAACATTACTCACAGAGCAAAGTTAGTGCCGACACAGACTCTCAAAAGGACCTTCGTTATCTGATAACATCCTATATTCATATTCTTCCCCTCAAAAGACTGCTGCCTGAGCCCCTGTTCTTAATTCACTTATTTGGCCGCAGCCAAGGAAGCTTTCATATTTCAAGTGCTTTCAGGTTTCAATTTAACATATTCAGATGGACCACTGTTTTCTGGTGCCCATTAGAAAAGACAGACTCTTCCCCAGGGAGGCATACCAAAATTTAAAGAAGTAACTGGGGGCAGAAGGGAGCCTTACCTTCGATTTTAGCATATTCTGAGAGCCGGGAGTAGTTGACTAAAGCAGCCTGCTCTAGACATTTCCGGATGACTGTTTTTACCTCCTCTTGTGGTACGGGGGTAACAATATCTTTCATCAAAACCTTTAGGTGGGAAAATAAAAGATTATTAAGATGGTTCAACCAAATGTGTTACTCATTTATGTTTCTTAAAGAGCTCAAGTTTAAAACGAGCTGTGAATGCCTCCTTGTGACTTAATACTGATTGAGAGCCATCGCCAAACAGAACACAGAGTTGTAATGCACAGTTAGGATGGCAAAACCCATCTATGAATCAAGGAAGGGCCAGGAACATATCTTCAATATATGCTAACTATTTGGGAGTCTGGAGATAAAATATCTAGAATTTTGGCAGTTTCCCCACGTTTATTCTGGTATTTGATGAATGGTAAGTGAAGCCTTGAAAAATGACAAACTAGGTCATTCAGCCATAATATTTCATTACAATCATGTTCACGTCTATATATATGTAATCTGTCTTTTACTTCCATTCTTACCCTTTCCAAGAGTGATAGAGTAGCTTTTAAAGCCCCTTCAGGTCGACCGAACGGAAAGCAATACCTAAAAAACAGAGAACATTCTTCAGGTTGCCCAAATACATTACATTTCAGCATGAAGTATGCTGCAATTTGATTCCTATAGCAACTCTTTCTGAGGAACAGAAAATGCTTTTTATTTTGTCACGTTGTGTTATGTTAATCTGAATTCACACCATATATGTGTGTATATAATGTATATATGTGTATGTGTGAATAATGACTAAAGAGGGACTCTGCAAGTGTCTGCAGCAGAAAAGAATATTTAGAGTGATGGCATAAGGCTCTGTTTAGATTTCTATTGTGAAGGAAAACCATTTGTTAGCTCACATGTGACCTTATATATTATTATAGAGACCAGGAGTAAAAAAAAAAAAAAATTAGTTAAGACAGGCTAAAATCCTAACATATTTACTCAAATCTCCAAAGGCTTTACTAGAGGAAATGAAGGAGTGTATTTTGAGCAAATTCATGCTTTTGCTAGATGTACTTCTTTGACTGCAGTTTTTAATTGTCATGGGGTCTTTTGTTACTGGCAATACATCTTGCATATAGCGAATAATCAATAAAAATTTATCCCAGAGGATTTTGATGGCACAGAAAGAGCTAGGTCCTGTACTCCTAAGAGTTCCATTGACTATTTGGGGCTGTCACAGGCCTTTTGAGCCACTGTTCCTCATGGTACCAAGGGACCAGCAGAGGCTACTTAAACTCAAACTATCTCCTAGGCGTGTGTCCAGCTGAGTGGTCTGGGGCAAGTTCCTTAACTCTCTCAGCTTTGGTTTACTTTTTATTTGAGACTGTGACAACGACCTCACAAAGTTGTTCTGGGAATAAAAAATCGAGTCAATGCCTAACCAGCCGTGAGTCCTGTATCTTGACCCCTAGGAAATGTTTAAGAAAAAGGATCAGTTTATTATTATAAATGTTCTTACTATTTTTGAGTTACTATCTCAGGATCTCTAGTCTACAAGCACCAGTGCAGCGATAGAAATGTCTAATTTGCTGCAAGGCAGAAGCGGGCTATGTGGTGCAAGGCTGAACTTGGACCTGCTCGCTGTGTCAAGGGCGCGGGGTAGAGTCAATCTGCCAAGGCAGATCTAAGTTTCCTTCTTTCCCTTAGTAGACGGCTAGCCCTGTTTCTGAGGCAAGAGAGAAGGTGGACACTCTCCTATGGATCCCACTGCCTTCCTTCCCTGTTCATGCGATCTGATTCACAGGAGTTTTCACGGGTTTAGGAACCTTGTAGAAATTTCACATTCAGCTTCTTAACAGAGATGTAACAAATGGATTGATGACCAGGGTCAGCTTGCAAAAGGAGGGCTCTGTTCTTTTAGTGGAAGTAGAATGAGCTGAAGATGTCAAAGTCTCCTGGCTATTGCAGAACCCTGTCCTATTGGTTTTCATTTCCATTCAGTTACCTTTTTTTGTTTTTTTAGAGGGATGGAGAGCACAAGGGAGTGGGGGACAGGTGCAGAGGAAGAGAGAGAGAGAGAGAGAGAGAGAGAGAGAACCCCAAGCAGGCTCCATGTTCCCGACATGGGGCTTGATCCCACAACCCTGGGATCATGACCTGAGCCTAAACCAAGAGTCAGATGCTCAACTGAGCCACCCAGCTGCCCCTCAATTCAGTTATTTCTAAATATCCAATGTGTCACTGACAGGTTAACAGTTTTAGAAAGTCAAGCCCTTTATTTGCCCCACCCCAGTCTCACGCTCTTAATTAACCCCTCAACCCAGGATCCTTACCTAAAATGTGTAATCTGATTTTCCAACAGAACTCGGAGTCTCTCTTTGATTTCTTCAAAACGTTCCTTCTCTTCAACAGTCACAGTTCCGATTCCATCAGGCCTGAAAGAAGACATGTCATGAAGTGACGGGAACCTCATACACTGACATCGTCAAATCACATCTCTAGCAGGAGGAAACTGTCCACTTCAGAAGAACAATTACAATGATCGATGTGACCTTAGGAGAAGTTCTGCTTTTCAGAGGTGGCTACTAAAGGGCATGGGGTATGCTGGGGTTATCTTTTGGAGACATTTGTAGTACTGTCGCTCATTTATTGTGAAGTGGTAAAATGTATAAACTGGTGGCCAGAAAGTCCAGTTTCTAGACCTTTTGTTTGGCTCATAGCTTCTTAAGATTTTTGAACTATTTGCCAGCATTTTTTTAAAGTTTGTTCGCTTGTTTGTTTATTTAGAGTGTGGGAGGGGGCAGAGAGAGAGAGAGCACACGCGCACGAGAGAGCGAGAATCCCAAGCAGGCTCTATTTGCCAGCATTTTTAAAAGTGTATTTATTTACTTAGAGTATGGGAGAGGGGCAGAGAGAGAGAGAGAGAGAGAGAGAATCCCATACAGATTCTATTTGCCAGCATGTTTTAAAGTTTATTTATTTATATAGAGTATGGGAGAGGGGGAGAGAGAGAGAGGGAGAGACAGAGAGAGAGAGAATCCCAAGCAGACTGCACATGGTCAGCACAGAGCTCGATGCAGGACTCGAACCCATGAACCATGAGATCATGACCTGAGCCGAAGTTGGACACTTAACCGACTGAGCCACCCAGGTGCCCCAATTTGCCAGCAATTTTTAAAGTTAGGAAAGTTTTACAACACAATTCTTTTGAAAATTTGGAACAACTGGCATTAACTGGTGAGTAACAAGTAATAGCTTTTTAACAGGGGCAGGCAGTTAACTGTCCACATCTCTCAATTGTGTTAAATATCTCTCTTGTAGGCACTTAGGTTTGGGACTCCTGAATTACGCACACAAACTTCTAGAAAAAACAGGTGCCTTGTAAATATCTGTCGTTTTTGGTGTTAAATGTTCCTAAGTGACTCAATATCTAGCTTATATTACAGATGTTCAGATTCTCTTAAGCACTAATGTATTAACTGAAGAACAAATTATAAGACATTGGGGAAAGTGAAAGACATCGATGAAAGAAATTAAAAAAGACACAAATAAGTGGAAAGATATCCTATATTCATGGATTGGAAAAATTAGTATTGTTAAAATGTCCAAACTACCCCAAGCCATCTACAGATTTAACGCAATCCCTATCAAAATTCCAATGGCATTTTTTTACAAAAATAGAAAAAAACAATCCTAAAGTGTGTATGGAACCACAAAAGACCCAAAGAGCCAAAATAATCCTAATAAAGAACAAAGTTGGAGACGTTGCAATTCCTGACTTAAAAGTTTATTACAAAGCTTTAATAATCAGAACAATATGGTACTGGCATAAAAATAGATGCACAGACCAAGAGAACAGAGCTGAGAACCCAGAAGTAATCCCTGCATGTATGGTCAACTAATATTTTAGACAGGGGAGCCAAAGATGAACAATGGGAAAGAATAGTCTCTTCAATGAATGATGTTGGGGAAAACTGGATATTCACATGCAAAAGAATGAAACTGGACTCCTATGTTGCACCACTCAAAAAATTAACTCGAAATGGATTAAAGACTTAACCATAAGACTTGAACCCATAAAAATCCTAGAAGAAAGCATAGGGAAAAAGCTCTCTGACATTGGCCTTGGCAACAATTTTTTTGGATACGACACTAAAAGTAGAAGCAACAAAAGCAAAAATAGACAAGTGGGGCTACATTAAACTAAAAAATTTCTGACAGCAAAATATAAAGGTAACCTATGGAATGGGAGGATATACTCCCAAACCATCTATCTGATAATAGACAACAGAAATATAGAAGTCATAAAATTCTATAGAAAAAAACAAATCATTCAATTAAAAAATGGGCAGAGGACTTGAATAGACAAATGGACTTGAACAGTCTTCCAAAGGAGACATACAAATGGTCAAAAGATACATAAAAACATCACTCGTCATCAGGGAGATGCAAATCAAAATCACAATGCGATATCACCTCACAATGGCTAGTATTGAAAAGACAGCAAGTGTCGGCAAGGATGTGGAGAAAAGGGAGCCCTTATGCACTGTTGGTGGGAATGTAAACTGGTGAGGCCACGGTGGAAAACAGTATTGAGGTTCCTCAAAAAATTAAAAATAGTACTATCACATGATTTGGTAATTCCACATCTGGGTATATACCTGAAGGAAAGGAAATTACTTTCTTGAAGACACATCTGCACCCCTGTGTTCATTGCAACATTATTCACAACAGCCAAGATATGGAAACAACCGAAGCGTCCACTGATGAAAGAATGGATAAAGGAATTCATGGATAAATATATACATGATGGAATTATTTTTATATGATGGAATATTATTCAGCCATAAAAGAAAGGACATCCTACCTTTTGAGGCGACATGGATGGAACTTGAAGGCACTACGCTAAGTGAAATAAGTCAGACAGAGAAAGACAGAAACTTCAAGCTCTCACTTACATGTCTAATCTGAAAAAGTCATACTCATAAGAATACAGAATAGAATGGTAGTTGCCAGAGCCCAAGGGCTGGCAGAAACAGGGAGCTGTTAACTAAAGGGTACAAACTCCCAGCTATAACATGAGTAATGGTACTGTATTTATATACTTGAAGGTTGTTAAGAGAGGAGATCTTAAATGTTATCGCCCACACTAAAAAATGATAATTATGTGAGGGGATGTAGGTGTTAATTAACCTTGTCATAATAGTGATTTCACTATATATATATATATATATATATATACACACACACACACATATATATATACACACACATACACACACACACACACATATATATATGATCAACACATTAGATACCTTAAACTTACACAGGTTATATGTTAATATCTCAATAAAGCTGGGAGAAAAGAGAACAAACCACATATGATGCGTTTCCATGCTAGTGAACTACTGGTCATTTTAATAACAAGAAGGACCCTAGCAAATATAAGTAAATTCCAGTTTAAACCCAGTATTCTCATATTTCTAAATCGCCATCAGGTTTCCACACATTTTTCCTATTTGCTTTGGACTGTTCAAGTTGAAAATACAAAAGGAAGCTGCATATTTATAGCCCAAATTTATCTGTGCCAAATTAGACGTGGGATAATCTGACCCATTCAAAGACTTCAGCTTCCCAGATCCCGTAGTGACTTGTTGTGACTACTGGCTGAGCCAGTTTGCAGATTGGCGTGTCACCATGAAACTTCTACTGGAACATTCTTCAGTTTGCAAATGGGAAGTCATCTTGAGACCAAACAAATGGTCTTATTTATAGGTCTTCTCAAGGATCCAGCATAAGTTGGGAAAATCCTGTATACTAGACCAGTCTGACTGCACAAAAGACTTGGCAAATGACAGCAATGTACCTCCTGTTAGGGGTTAATTGGTCAGCTTCCCTTCTTTATAAATACTAAAAATTCCCCACTTGGAAAAAAAAAA